GGCGCATTCCCTGTCGGAAAAACCCCCCGAAGCCAGAGGTATTTTTTTGTGTTCTATGAGTATCAGAAAACATTCCGTGTGAGTCTGGGTGCGTCTAAGTGCATTTGTTGAGTTGGAGGAATCGTTACGGTTCAGGAAATTCGGGGGTTGGTGTTTCGCGTAAAATAGGGGCTTTGCTAAATAAGGGGATTTGCCAGAATCATTAAACTTCACCCCGTAGTATTGAGGGCGTAGTTTAGCCAAAAAAGGCGGTGGATTTTTATAACGATGAGGGCATGATTTTATCGATCTCCTGAGGAATCACATGTCCTCTCTGCCCAAACTACGTCCTCTGTACCGCCAATTCTGGCCAAAAAAACTACATTATGCTGACCAGCGATCACCAACTCTTTACGTCTAACCGAACCGACTGAGTAAAGAAAATACTTGTTCAAGCATCACTCCATATATGAATTTCAGAGACCTCTATTGATAGAGGACAAGACAAGTTTTATTTGTTTTTGCTTGAATTTTTTTTTTTAAAACAAGTAGCAGAACGCAAACAGGATGCATTAAATACTATATAAGTTTCAGATATGGCTTACAAACCAAAATAACAATATAACATCAACATTTGGAATAAACATAAAGAGGTAAATAATTATAAATATTAACAAGAATAAATCAGTAACGAATCGATAAAAGTATACAAGGCCTATAAAATAAAAGTGGTCAATTGTATTACGGAAATTGAAATTGTGTAAATACTTGCGTAATTGGAATACAATTACTGTAAATAATTTGATTAAAATTGGAAACTCATCTGCAACGTCCTGCTTTCAAACGCTATAATCGTTTGGCGAAAGATATCTAGGTATATAAACAATAGTCGGTTCCTTATTAGTGGGTCTATTATCGACACCCCTCCCCCAATTTCAGAAGAATCACTTTTTAAACATATTATTCACTAACATTGTTCCCAATTACCTCAAAATGCTGTGATTTTAATAGCACTACTATTTGACTTTATGATATTAGTATGAAGTATATAACACTGTACTGGTACTGGTATGGGCATTCATAATGAGCCTCTTCTTGCGGTTGTAAAGCGCAGTTCTTTTCCCTGGTCATTGGGTCCACATGCCAAGTGTAGCTGCTGGTAATCAGCGCAGGAGCAGGCAACTACACCAGGTACCCATTTATACTCTTGGGTGCAGATAAAATGTCTTGCTCAAGGACACATTGGGATTGAAACCCCAACCTCGAGGTTGGGAAACCAAACCGTTCCCGCTGCGCCAGACCGCTGCCCACGAAGCTGTATCCTTTGCCATTTTTTCGCTGTGCGAGGAAAACCTGAGTACTGCGTTGGTGTATTTTTTCGGCATAACGTGTAATTAATTTTTATTCTGCGCGTCATGTTACCTTGCTTAGTAGTTTTTAGTATATGTTAATAGAGCAGCGAAACATATATCGGTGTTATTACATTTTCTCGTTATGATGTATTACAACAAAGGTGGGCATAAAAATCGGTCTGGGGGCCAAAGTGAATTTTTGATTTAACACTGAGGGCCGCACCCAAACTTTGATGTTTCTAATGACCTTCCATAAACCTCCAAGCACTACTTTCACACCACTAAGTGTTAATGTTACTTTTTACATAATTGATCGGTGTCGGGCCGTAAAAGCAAGATGTTTTCTAGCCAATGTTGCTTGGCGGGTCGCACACATAGGGTTTTTAATTTATTTTTTTGGGGCCGCAAATAAATCGCTGTAGGGCCGCACTTTGCCCACCTGGGTGTTACGAAAGTCTTATATCGCCCTAATATTGTATTTAAAATAAAGCATTAAAGCATTTTCAGATAGAGAAAGACAATGACACCGAACCAGTAACTACTGTCTACTAATGAAGACCGGTACGCACAATTTATGATCATATCTTGCAACAATACAATTAAGGAAATGATTGGTTCTGATCCACGTCAATTGTTTGGAGCATGGAACGACGGTTAGAGCAAGACACCACTTCACACGGAACTCCCAGAAGGTGTACTGCAACAATCAACTGAAAATATGAAAAAAAATATATTGGATAATAAACAACTTTTAAACTAAATTCCACTTCGCAGAAGCCTGTTGATCAACTGAAGTGTATGCGGTACCGGTAGTTGACGTGTGATTATTGAGTTTCAATCAAGGTCTTATATACTGTGCTAATAAGCTTACAGGTGACGTAAAATATTGGAGGGAAAAAAACCAAAATCAATAAGGGCCTGTAGCTACCCGGCCCGTTGCCACCCTAGGTAACGGGCCTAGGTTGTGTGGACGAGTAGGCCTGTACATTGCCGTCGTCTGTATTTTTATTTCTGCGGACAAATCTACCTGTACTAATATTGCTAGCAATAATGGTTTTGGTAAGTCACATACCAAAATGGGATCAAGTCTTCTCCGATAAGGACCAGTGTTCGCAATTGGCTCGTGTGCACTTTAAAGGACCCAGTACATTCTTCAAGAAGAGTAGGGGATTACCCCGGTGTACTGGTCAATTCAGCCCCTGTCGTTTTGGACAGAGACGATAGTGAGCCTCTGGCCCTCTTGGCAGTTTATTGGACATGATATGATCCTTGAGGGAGAAGGAATTTAGTCCAAGCCTGTGCGCATTTCAGCCTAATTAAAGTTGCAAGTCACAGGTTATTCCCTATCTTTACTTCCTACCTTTACATTTACCTAATAAAACACCTGTCCAATGAACATCGGGTAAGTTGAGCACTGACGCTTTAATTACAAAATCATATTATTATTATTATTATTATTATTATTATTATTATTATTATTATTATTATTATTATTATTATTATTATTATTATTATTATTATTACCATTATTATTATTAATTATTATTATCATTATTATTAACAACTTCAAACATATTTATAAAGGATTAAAACATATCAGGTAATTGTTATAGGCTGTTTTTCATATGGTCCTGTTTAAACTTAGCCTATACTAAGGATATATAACAAACATAAGTAAAATTAGAATAAAGCAAACATGGATGGTAAAAAAGCGCTGACAATATTTTACACGCGCGCTAGATAACGTTCAAGGCATTTTAATTTATACAAGAGAACTGGAAAGATCAAAACGTAACAGTGATAGAATTAGAATTATGAAAGAATACGAATTATACATTACAGAAATATAAATACGTAAATATATATCACACATAGTCAAGACATTTATAAACAAGTATCCGCCGTCATATGCACTATAAAAAGCCACATATTACAAGCCCACGTTTAATCATGTATATAAATAATAACCCAGCAAACACAAAGCGTTCTTATAACGTTCACGAACGTTTCAGTTTGGTATGTAACAAAATAACGTTCGCACAACGTTGTAAGAACGTTCAAACGTTGTGACGTAGTAATGTTATAAGTACGTATATGGTTCTACAAAATAACTGTTTTTCACCAAGCTGAAACGTTATTATAACGTTTTTATAACGTAATATTTTTAGCTGGGAATATGTACATGGACGTTCACATGTGATAGGCCATGTACAACTTAATTTGAAGTGCAATATATTTAATTAAAATAATGAAGATTTTTTTTCCAAGAAATATAGTTTTTAATTTAAATTTCGAAGGGTAATCAATTCTTTCAATTCGCGTTTCAACTTATTTCATATATGCGCGTTAGCATATTTGAGTGCAATTTTTATTGTTTTTACATTTACTTTATGTGGTACGATATTGAGTGGGTCCGAGTTTCTGGTGCTATATCCGTGTTGGTCGAATACCATTTCAATTTTGTTGCATAGTCGTGAACTCTAATAAAGAACATTAATAGTTAATTATTATTGAAACATTACAACTTAGGTAACTAGGGCTCAATGTAAATAGTAATTTATTTTGATAATTATCATTTGTTGAATACAGTCAGTGATTAGACCGAGGAGAGGTGGGACTGCAGGCCTTCCTCCTGTTTGGACTCCTCTGGTCGGGGATGACTGGAATCGGAGGCCACCGGATTTGGCCGGTCTTTCTTTGTAGTGGTGCCTAGTTGGAGCCCGGAAACTGGGGATCAGTTCCCTTTTGCTAAAAGTGGCCTTAAATGGGGGGGGGGGGCTGTACCCGCTTTTCCCTGATAAGATCATTGGCTGTATATTTACACTGTTTCCCGCTACTTGTAACTTTTTCTTTTCATGTGTGTAATATCGATTGTTATTAGTAACTATATATGCTGCCCTCTTTTTCAGTCGGTGGATTTACTGTTTTATTTTTTTGCTACTATTTACCCCAAACTGAAATACCATAATCCATACATGGCTGTATTGTTGTTAGATATAGTTTTGCTAATACATTTTTATTTATAAAGTGTAGGCTAGTTTCGAGAGTAGATTAAGTTTAGCATATTATATAGTTAGTCTATTTTGTTACTTCCTTAATGTGATGTTATGTTAAATTTTCAACAATTTCAAGTCAGAGATATCTTATATGCTGTATGTTTTCAAGGCACTGGTTTCCAAGACTAATGCTTAGCATAATTATGAGGTGGAATAACGTGTTTGTTTTTTATTATCATACTTTTAGTTTCTAAACGCATATTGGTCTATATTTTTTTTTTAAATTATGTTCATTTAGATAATCGGTTATTTGAGTCTGTATTATTTTTTCTAGTATCTTTGATATGTGACAAATTACCGAAATAGGTCTATAGTTAGTTAACGTCTCTTTGTTTCACTTATATATTGGTGGAGTTCTTGCTCTTCCAATCTACGAGGATTTCTCCGTTCATTAACGACATATTGTAAATCTTACAAAGAGAATCTCATATATAATAATATATCAGATATATATGTTGATACCATTCTTAACAAGTCTATCAAAATCAAGGAGATCAATGCTACTATGGTCAGACAAATTGAGAAGTGCCTTTTTTACTTCTTCGGTTTCAATAATTTTAAACGAGAATTGGTCATTCCACTGTTTTGTTAGTTCATCGAATGTGTCTGATATTTAAACTTAAAAAATATTTAAAAAGTTGGAAACCTTATTTTTTGCAAAGTATGAAGTTACATTGAACTGTAGCTATGGAAAACGTATCTCAAGCACAAATGTGTTCATTGACAATAAAGTGTATCTGTATTTCTTTTCCAATATTGGTAAAATAGTCATTAAAAGCTTCACAGTTTAAGTTGGGATTAGTAATATTTTTGTTTATATTTTTTTCTGTAATTTTCTTCATCTCATCCCATAATTGATTTAAGTTGTTCCTATGTTTATGTTCGATTTCAGCAAAATAATCTTTGCTTTCCTTATTACAAGTGACGTCATTTCTTAATTTTCTATAAGGTTAAAGTGTTGTTTTTTGTGCTTGACAGTCTCTTTGCTAGATCTCGTTAGTACATCAATTGAGTAATATCTGGTGTTATCCATGGTGAAAATCTATTTTTTACTCTTATTGATTTATATGGGGCATGTCGACTACATATGTCTATGAAGGAATGCTACCATTTGTTCCAAACAGAGTCAATACTTTCATTGCCAGTTATTAAGTCATTCATTTCGTTATTTTCTTGTAATTCTTTGTTGAAAGATTCTATATTAAAATCTTTATAATTTCTAAATTTAATTGTTCTATGCCCAGTTTTATTATTTCTGTATTCCATTCTAGGTACCATTGTTCGAAGATAATAAGCATACAATTGTTTTTTTAGATTGTTTGAGATTTTCGGGCGCTCCTACTTTTACTTTTTATATTTCATTGTCATTTTAATTGTTTACAGATACTTGTCGTAATCCCCTTGGGATGATGACCAAAGAAATTACAGCTGACCAGCTGAGTACCAGTAGTAGTCACAGTTCACAGCACGGTCCTAAGTATGGAAGGTATGTTCCAAGAATCTATTGGGCGATCTGGTTAAAGACTTTTATAATGTAGTCTCCAGAATGTGTACTCTCACCTAGATGATTGGAATACAGAATTGTGCATTTTGAATATACTTTGATATTTAAATTTTAAAACTCATCCTGTCACACATAAAAAAAAATGTTAATATGGCCTATGATGTATAGAATTGTTTATAATCATGGTGCAACGCCACCAACCCGTTAAATAAGATAGTATAATACATACTCCAAATATCGAAATGCACGTTATCGTCAGGAATTCCTGATGACGACATAATTAATGTCGAAATATTGAATCCCGGCTCAATGGCGTATGGATTATACTATCTTATCTGAGATTAATCACTGGGCCTTTCGCTATTAAATAAAGTACAGCGAAAATTATTTGCCCCTACTATTTTTGATAGAACATAAATCTCTACAAATATATTTCATTAGCAAATAAATTAAGGATAAAGTCAGCGAAGCACTTTAATTTAAAGTTAGATGATAATAGTGTAATGAATATTATAAAATGATAAAATGTGTTAGTAAGCATTTATAGCACTTTCAATTTCAGTTCAGTAGAGCTTTTTTGCATTCCTGATTTTTGGGTTCATTTGCTTAAGATATGTTGCTGCCTTAGAGGTGAAGTAGCAAGCAAAGGCCATAGGTACCCATCATACTCTTTGGTGGACAGAAGCAATGTAAATTTAGTTATTTACCTTACTCAAGTACATAGCACAGTGCCGAGTTAGGTGTTGAAACCCCTATTGTTTGATGTTGATTTGGATCCAAGTTGGGGTATATGAAGCCAAGTTTTGTTGTATTATACTTACGTGGATTTAATAAGTTACTATGCAAAATCTAAACATTTAAATATATATTTAAGTTATCAATTTCCAATACCCTTTACAGATTAAACTCAGAAGAAGGCGAGGGGCGCCTGGTGTATTGAAGGTCTACTTACCATTGATCGGTACGAGTACATGGAGGTGGACTTTCGTGACTTAAAAGTGATCACAGGGATTGGCACGCAGGGAAGATGGCATTATGGGAAAGGCAATCAACATGCACGGCGTTTCCGAGTTGAATACAGACGAGACAATGAAACGCAAGAATGGAGACATTATGTTGGATACCCCGACAAAATGGTAGGAAGATATTAGAGAATGAACTTAGTGGTACTCTAGTAATGATTTATAATATTTATCAATTCTTGCCTGTCTTTTTGTATAATAAGTAAATGTTTTTTTCCCGTATTATTTGGATAACTCTCTTTATTATATTCCATAGCACTATTAAGTTTTACATTTTTGTGGCTACTGTTATGTTATCACCTGCGTAATATAAGTGATTTACTAATAGCAGTACGATGAATTTAAATTAAATCTTATTTGACATTTAGTTTCATTTTCACATTTTTGAGATTTCAGTAAAGTTTCTTATAAAATAATAGTAAAAGCTAAGATGTATTTTGCCCAAAAGTAATGTAATAAGCAAGTAAATATAGTAGGTTTGAAGAATAATGTAAGATACTAACATTTGGACTATAATTTTATTACTGTACAGTAGGCCTAATAGATTAACATGAAATTTCTTTCAACGATTTTAATACCTAGCCAATAAACAAACTATCTGGGACTCTTCAAACACACAAGGATAAACCACCAGCACACAGCCGGGAACAGCCAAAGTCATCTATAGTCATACACTCCCACAAACAAGAACATCGATCGTGTATGTCGTGATAATTAGCCCAACTGATAGCCATTGTAGCATCTTGGCATTCTTGACGGACCAGAGAATATATAAACAATTCACAATTCACGATACAGTACATAAAGATATCGGATTTGTCATCAGCGATATTTGGTTGTTCATTCGGGCCTAAACCAAGCAACACATTTCCCATCACACTCCATGGAATCCATGCGATGTTTTGGCTTTCCTTTCTTCAAGCTAGAAACAATGCCATTGCCTTGGGTTTCTAGCTACGACCCACTCTTATGCACATACTGGGAATACAGTGGGTTTTTTTTGTATTAGCCTTTTCAAACGTAGTCTCAGTTATTGTTTAGTCCACCAATCAGTAGCAAGCCTCACTATCCAAACATATAAATATTTCCCTGCTTGGAATTTTCTGCAGATATTATTCTCCTGAAGACGATTGAAGCAACCCATTTTGAAACGTCGGGACATTCTCAACCAGCAACAGTTCTTTTCAGAACGTGGTGTACCGCAAGCATTATAGGTTATCTTTGGTGTCACTGAAATCGTCAGAGCACTTTACTAAAATGGTGGAGGTTATATTAAGTAATATCAATTAAAATAGGTAGAAACACTTTACTGGAAGTGGAAATAGTCTAAAGTCTGGATCATAGTTTAATATGATCATATTAATTAGATATTATATAATTATTGTGATTATATTTTTGATATGTAAGTTCTTATAAGATCATTTTTAATTGCTTTTATAAAAGTTCATCTTTAAAAAAATGTAACCATGGGAGCTTTTCTCCTTGTTAACAGCTTTTAACGGACTATTTTTATTACAGGTAATTTATTTGAGAAGCGTGACACACTTGATGACATATTATTGTCTTATTCCTTACTCTACTATTACTATGTCCGTGGTCAGTGCTGCATTATTTAAACTACCTTTAAAACCGTTAAGAGAATTTGACACATGAACTTGACCAGCATACTGGAATGTAACCTGTGATTTTTTTTTTGTGTACTTTGAGATGTTTTGAGACTTTTAAAAAACAAATTAGAAAGAATTTTTTTTTAACATGAACGTGACCAGTATAGTCTAAAGTGAGCTGTGATTTATTATATACCTTTAGGTGTTTTTGAGACTTTTAAATACAAAAATTAGGAAAAATATGTTTGTTGGTAGTGGTAATTTCATACTTTCAAATAGCCAAATAGATCAGGAAAAAATAATTTTTAACAATGGGAAGTTTGAACTTGGCAAATCAGATACATGAATTTTGTTTGTAATTTATTCCGCTTTTAATGTTTCCAATTCTTCTTAAGCTTTGACCATAATCTTTCAAGTCATCATTATTTGTATTTTCCACGGAAGTAATACCTTTTTTTTTAATGAGGCGTGAACATTTGTTGAAAGCATGAAGGGAGGTAAAACTAACAAGTAATTCTGTTATGAAGCTTTATAGAAATTGCTTGCTATAGATATTTTTTCTCTGATGAGAAAAATTGATAGTCACAGTCCACATCCTACCAATATCACTCCCAACAACTACCCTGGTAAAATAAGAAGTTGATTAATTATCAAAACCATTTCAAATATAGGTCAGAGTAATTAAACCATTGAAGATGGAAACAACCGAGACTGGATATGCTAATTGGGGATCCAAGTATGGTTCAACAATTAATATCAACGTTTTAGGCTTTTACAATATATTCAAGGAATTTGAGGAATTTTTATGCTATCCTGTAATATATTGCAGGCAGCAAATTTACAAAACAAGGTATAAAAAAGTCTTGCGCAATCGAGGCCCTTTTCAAATGTGTTTCTCGTTTGAAATTTCTACATTTGCTTTTACAATGCAATTGTATACAATCATAACTTGTCCTGTATGAAGCAAAGAGAGTAATAACAAATAAAAAGATGTATAGTGCAATTAACTTGAACATAAAAGCTGAAATTATAAAAATCTGTGTGAAAATATCTTGAAAAAAAAGTAAATTTCTCACCAATTTCTTCGTCACCTATCGTGGAGGGAACAGTTGGAGATGGCAAGTCGAAAGTCATTGGCCCCCCCAACATGCCATCAATTAACTGGCCAAGCCCATTGTGAAGATAATCATTGGTGCTGATTCCATCGTAGGATTCATCTCGTAGGCTGTATGTACCTTTATATTCGCCTTGGTTCATCTGATATGGTATTATGTTATCTGTAAATAATTGTTAATAGATTAGATTGCAGGGTGTCAACAATGTTTGCATCATCAATTTTATATTTCCTCTAACAAGTCAAGTGAAACCACAATTTGTAACAAATTATAATAGAGGGCGCCATTTCCAGTTATCCCACTGCCTGAACAGCCCTTTGTTTACCTTAAAGGTTAAAGTTTACCTTCAAATGAGCAACCATAGAACTCCACCCTCATACAGACATAGCGTGGTGACTTAGCAATTGGGACCACTCGAAGCTGAGATGCGACGAGAGGTGGGGACAGTTGATTTGCTTTGGCTTGGTATCCATTGCTATTGCCATCATATGCCAAGAAAAAAAAATTAAGTGGCATCATTTTATTTATTGCTTGTTTGAAAACATTGAAAAATATAAGAATATACACATGGCAGGTGTTGCAACCAAATTGTATTTTAAGGCCAACTTAAACATCAAGAAATTGGTACAGTACTCAAATATGGAGACAACAATATAAGAGCAGCTAAAATAGATATATCAAAACATGCGTTTTAGAATGGAATACTACACTGAATAGATGGAGCAAGATAATATTAAGAAAAAAGATAAGGTCCATTTCATCTTGAATTTGTTATCGTTGTTAAGAAAAACATTTTGATGAATGAAGAAAAAGAAAAAGAAAAAAAAAACCTAATACTAGCAATGTTTAGACGATGATCAGTACTAGTAAAGTATTATGAGAAATCCACTCACGGTCGCATCTTATTCTATCATTGTCTATGAGTAACAGTAAATATTATATTCAATAAAATCTTGTAGATAACATAATGTCTCTGTTCATAATGACTGCACTTGTTTTCTATTACAATCAGGTTTTACAGAATAGAACTAAGCTGACGGAGCGCCGCCAAGCATTACGGTCATTTTTTGTTGTCATTATGCTAAAGTACAATGCATTTTACCTGGGTGTATGCTTATGTATTTCTTGTTCAAAAATGTTTCTTTTTCTGCACCACAGAATAGGCTTGCTTCTTCTCTACCATATTATTTATCATGTTAAAAATAACTTGGTTAATTATTAGCAATAGAGCTTAAATATCCATCACATTTTTAATTCTGAATTTTTTTGGAATAGTATTATAAATCCAGTAAAAGGTGAACATATTTAACAACCAATCACAGAATTGAAGAGCTTTGCATGTTTCATTCTAAAAGGCCCAAATCTGGCCAAGACAACCTAACATTATTACTATGTCGACTTGTCAAGATAATCTATCTCGCCATGACAACATACAATTTTTATTACGTCGACTTGTCAAGATAACCTATCTTGCCATGACAACATACAACTTATATTATATCGACTTTTCAAGATAATCTATCTCGCCATGACAACATACAATATGTATTATGTCGACTTGTCAAGATAATCTATCTCGCCATGACAACATAACGTTTTTACTATGTCGACTTGTCAAGATAATTTATCTCACCATGACAACATACAACTTTTATTACACATAAATGATGGATATTTCTTGCGTAAAATGAAGGTTCTTGTCTATTTATTTGTTATAAAGCATTTTATTCGTTGATTTAACATATATGACTATATAATATATTTTAATGACATTATAATGAGCCAGCCTGGATGACTAGGCCTAGCCTAGGCCTACTTTACTCTAGCCCTTGCCGAGATCGCTAGCCTTTAATTTAACACCTTGATCAGGGGCGGATTAGGGGGGGGGGGCTAGACTGGGTTCCAGTCACTAATTTCAGTTGAAATGCTTAAGAATAAATCGATTTTGGCACAAATGGCGTTCCATATTACTTATTTGCATGGCGTTACATAGTATACTTTTTCTGGGATTAGGAACGCTAATTCTAATCAAAAAAGTTTCTCAACATAAACTGACGCTGGTGGCGCTTTCCGAAATGCGCTAATGTACTACTAAAAATCCATAAATTAGAGACTTGTGGCACTTGTCTAGTGTTGTTGTCTGTCTGTGTTGAAAGGGTCTCTGAGCGCGAAAATTTACTCGCGCGAAAATTACCGGTTTTACAGTACTTTCTGTAGCAAAAATGTTTACCTTATTTTAGATTGGGCGCCGAAATACTACGGTCATAATTTTTTTTCCTAAAAAATATACTACGAAGTACTTCTACGCTAACGTACTCTACTATAATTCATTTGAAAACGTAGGCCTATATATTTCTCTACATAACCATTATGAAAATCCTCAATTTTTAGTTTACTTGCCTTCTATTATGTTCATTGTTCGATACCATCATCATTTGCTAGCATTGATAATTTTTAAATGCAAAACTTTGAAGACTTATTTATTTTTATTTTAATCAGATAGTGAAAGTCCTGTTGTAAATCGCCCGTCACACTCAAGCAACTTTGCTTCAAGAGAATCTAACTCCGCTTGGTCTGTGTCCACAGACGAAGGCTCAAGATTTGCTCGGCTGTATTGGCTGCTAGCGAATGCTACCGACAATAGTGGCACTGCGGCGTCTGTTAATTCAAATTATAACCCTGGTGACATATTTCGTGTCAGTAATGCTGCCTATCAGATAACGTACACTGCAATCGATGAAGCTGGAAATACGGGATATTGCTCATTCTTCATAAAGGTTCAAGGTTGGCAAATTGGGGTTGTCTTAATGCATAATATAAGGTTTTGAACATTATGAATAATAAGCACTTATAAAACATAACTTAGGCCTATTTCATGTAAATTATTACTCGCGCGAAAATTACCGGTTTTACAGTACTTTCTGTAGCAAAAATGTTTACCTTATTTTAGATTGGGCGCCGAAATACTACGGTCATAATTTTTTTTTCCTAAAAAATATACTACGAAGTACTTCTACGCTAACGTACTCTACTATAATTCATTTGAAAACGTAGGCCTATATATTCCTCTACATAACCATTATGAAAATCCTCAATTTTTAGTTTACTTGCCTTCTATTATGTTCATTGTTCGATACCATCATCATTTGCTAGCATTGATAATTTTTAAATGCAAAACTTTGAAGACTTATTTATTTTTATTTTAATCAGATAGTGAAAGTCCTGTTGTAAATCGCCCGTCACACTCAAGCAACTTTGCTTCAAGAGAATCTAACTCCGCTTGGTCTGTGTCCACAGACGAAGGCTCAAGATTTGCTCGGCTGTATTGGCTGCTAGCGAATGCTACCGACAATAGTGGCACTGTGGCGTCTGTTAATTCAAATTATAACCCTGGTGACATATTTCGTGTCAGTAATGCTGCCTATCAGATAACGTACACTGCAATCGATGAAGCTGGAAATACGGGATATTGCTCATTCTTCATAAAGTTTCAAGTTTGGCAAATTGGGGTTGTCTTAATGCATAATATAAGGTTTTGAACATTATGAATAATAAGCACTTATAAAACATAACTTAGGCCTATTTCATGTAAATTATAATATAAAAATAGATTCTTAAAACGAAATCAATTTTAGAAAATCTAATAAAATCAATTTTAGAAAATCTAATAACAATTTTATTTCTTATCATATTTGGTATTATGTGAGAAATTAAAGTAGGAGTGCTCTTACTACTAGTTAACTTGTTTTTACATTTTATTGTTTAGATTTGGAAAGTCCATTAGTTGAATGCCCAACTCATATAGAAACAAGATCTGCACTTGTAACTTGGGACATCACGATTAGTGATAATGTTGCAGTTGTCCATTGCCTTTCAAACGACTCCAGAGTTACGCCGACTAATTCTTTATTAAATGACAGATCAATCACTTTAGCACAAAGTGGAACTTTTCCTGTTGGTACAAAGTTTATTGAATACATGGCGACAGATTTAGCTTGGAATGTAGGAAAATGTTTGATCAAAATCACGGTCGCAGGTAAATTTAATTGCTCGAATTAGTAGCGCTGTTTTAGGTAAGGCGTTATACTGTAATCACATCTGTTATTCATTGGTCAATGAAATTACAGTAATTGATCGTATTTGTTATTTTTATATTTTCATACTAATTAATATAGGTATCATTGTGCACTTTGAAATTAGATCTTTCTTGTCTATTCTACTCTCCGTTTATAATGTTTGTTGCTTCTTTGGTTTATTGTAATTTGAGATTTTCTAATAAGAATTCTCTAATTCAGCTACTGGCTGCAATTGTATATTCAATTTGAATTCAATACAGAACAAATAATAATAATAATAATAATAATAATAATAATAATAATAATAATATAATAATAATAGTGTTTTTAATTGGAATAAATGATTAACGTTTTTTTAGTCAAGATACTTTCTCTAATCACATCCATCGAATAGATGCTATGCCGTGAACTCTTCCCCATAATAATCAATATACTGTTTGTTAATGAATAGAAGTTGCCACAGATGTATTTCAAGTGTTTTTCAATTTTCGACAAATTAATACATCTTTTTCACCGCTCCCTCGTGCAAAATTGTATTTCATTTCGATCGCTATGGCTATATTAACATTAAACCCCAGAACATGCTTATACGTGTACTACTGCAGTATACTGTATTCTTGCGGATCTACCTCACTTACGATGACGGAACTGGCAAAAAAAAAATCACATTGAATGTAATATAGATTTCTCGCCAATACTTGTATTGCATATATCAATCAATAAACCAAACAATATTAAAAATTTGATGCACAGCATTAAAATGCAGAAAAGTATGTGTACTTTAACAACCCTTAATACCCTAAATAGAGAATTGTCTACTGCAGTACGATTTTGAAGAAGATATCACAATTACATGTTTTTTTTGTTTTTTTTAAAATCTTATTTCAGACACTAAAATACCGTCAATAACATGTCCTAGAACTTAATTACCACGACTATATATACGGGTTCCATCGTCTTGTTACTGATTATGGTCAGCCCTTCGCAACAGTCATATGGTCTCCTCCAGAAGTTGAAGACAATATTGAAGGGCCTGTCACGTGGGAAAGTTACCCATATACATCAGGTGATACGTTTCCTCTTCGACTGTTTCCGCCATACACTGTAAAGTTCAGTGCATCTGACTTGTTTGGCAATAGCAGATCTTGTTACGTATATTTCACGATAATAGGTAAGCACATTCATATTGATGTTACTCAATACTCAAATTCTTATTTTATAGGCCTTTTTTAGAAATTATAGGATTTTTTTGCCACAGCTTTTAAAATAACAAAATAGCAAATATATTAACAATTCATTGTTTTATAACTGGTATTTATCGAAATGCTGCAAATCTGATTGCTTTTCCATTTTGCACATTTCAGACGTCGAAGCGCCGACTATCACATGCCCGACAAATATCACAAACTACTACGACACATACTTCGGCATTAATAGAGCTGCACTCGATCCAGGTTCCTCCACTAGTACAGTCACGTGGGATTATCCTACTGTCTTTGACAACAGCAGACGTCCAGTGATTGTGACGTCAACTCACCTATCTGGAGAAACTTTTCCCCCAAGATTTTATCCGCCGTATGAAGTAGAGTATACTGCTAAAAATGAGTCAGGAAACAAGAATTCTTGTAAATTTCACTTTCTCGTATCTGGAAAGTCAGATACGAGTAAGCCTCTGACTTATATAAAACGTCTTTAATTTAGACGCTGTCGCTTTAGTATTTGGACTGAATAAGCTGAAATACTGTGCATACACTGTTATGCTTTGTGGTTTAGGTAAACTATATAGTGAAAGTACATATTATGAAATAAAAATATATATAGAACATAAATTCACTTTACAAGTACAGAAATCAAACGTTGATCATAATATAATTCCTTAATTAACTCTGTTCATAATGCGCATTTATTGTTAGAAATTTAGTTTTATAGTTTCTGTAGTTATTGATTATTTACTTATTTATTTTAAATTCTGTTATCGTCTGTAAAGTTCATAAACCCCAATGCGATACTGTTTTGAGAATGGACTACCTGTAGGTTAGGTCGTTTCAAAAGTTGAACAAATACATTCAAATAATATTTTAATGATTGTGTAACAATACCGTTTTCTTAATTTATATTATTCTATGTTATAATCTTATTGTTAATGATTTTTATTATTGTTAATGATATTTACGGTATAAAATTTTTTTTTCTTTATACAATATCAATTTTTTTTACCCAACGGTGTTAAGCTGGAAACTCACCGACGGTGGTTGACCGACGCGATTTTATGAAGAACGCAACGCCACAACGCACGAGCAACGGATCGTTTTTGATGACAATTCGTTCAGACTCGCACTAACAGTCAGCAGACGGCGCGCCACGCCTTCGCTACGGAGTCGCGTCCTCAAGCACTCACGAGGAGCGGAGCGGATTTGGATTCGTTGCGTATTACTCAGTGAGTGCCCGGCTTTACATAGCTTTGCTCCACTACAAACTGAATCTTTAAATAATCAGAAAAGCTATCAGGATACACAAAGATTATTTTATAGATAGGCCGATGACAGGCTACTCCTTAGGCTCACTCAGGGGGTGGAAAAATTGCAGACGCCCCTCTCCTAATTTCAAAAGGTCCACATTTTAAAACCTATGATTTTACTAAATTCGTTTCCAATTATCGAGAAATTCTGTGCATCATTGCATTAGAGATTTTAATGGCACTACGATTTAAATTAATTATAGTTTGAATAAGGTTTCTCCTAAAACTGGATTTTAACGTTTGGTGGTTAAATATTAACAAGATGATTTGCCATTAAATATTAGTATGAGCTATATAACACTGTATCGTTTAGCTGTGAAAGGAAAAATCTTACCTGAGTACTACGTTGGTTATTTTCTCGGCATGATGTGTAAATGGTAGCCATTATTCATCCCCTTTGTGGTTCCTCTTTTTTTGTGCGATGGTGCCTTGCTTAGTACGTGTTCACAACAGGAGTATTTATAGGTATTTTAAGTTTCTTGTTTAGTTGCTATAATAATGTACACGGTTTGAAGTTTCATCAATTATGTTTCACAATTGTTACGTATTATTTACCAATAGGCCTATCCGTTTAAAAACACATTTCTAAATACGCAAGAGACAAGTGAGTATACCAACCAACCTGCCTTAATTGATAGAGCAACGAAACATGTATCTGTGTTATTACATTTTCTCGTTCTGACTTGTTACAAAAGTCAATGTCACATATTTTAATTTAAAAAAAAACCTAAAAACAAAACACAAAAATCATACGTATTAATAATAATAATAATAATAATAATAATAATAATTATTATTATTATTATTATTATTATTATTATTATTATTATTATTATTATTATTATTATTATTATTATTATTATTGTGAATCATTTAAACTATAAGGACTACCAGAGAAAGACAATGACACCGAATCAGCATCTACTGCCTGATGTCAGTACAATGTTCACTGAATATGAAGATCGGTACGCACAATTTCCGATTTCATCTTACAACAATGCAATTAAGGAAATGATTAGTTCCGACCCACGTCAGATGTTTGTAGCATGGAAGGATGGTTACAGCATAACACCGCTTCACACGGAAGGTAACAATCGACCAACATCGGCCAATCCGGTTGTGATCGTGCTCAAGAAAAAAAATTATGAGATAATAAACAACGTTTAAACTATACAATTTCCACTTCGCAGAAGCCTGTTGATCAACTGACACGTGCATGCTGGTACCGGTAGTTGACGTGTGATTCTTGAGCTTCAATCATGTTGTGTGGACGAGTAGGCATATACATTGCCGTCTTCTGTATTTTTATTTCTGCTGACACATCTACCTGTAGTCATTTTGCTGACAATAATGGTTTTGGTAAGTCACACACCAAAAATGGGATCAAATGATTTAATAGTTACTTTACATATGACAGGGACGGCGTAACCTACAGCAATAATTGGCAGTGGTTCGAACGGCACTGTCGCCTATGGTTCTGGTGGTGGAAAAAGTCTTCTCGAATAATGTAACTAAACGGTAGGTGCAGTTTACACAACTGGCTCGTGTGCACTCCAAAGAACCATCATTCGAGAAGAGTAGGGGTTATTCCGGTGTACTAGTCCATTCTGCATCCCCTGCCGTAGTGGGCAGTGCCTCTTGGGAGTTCACTGAACTGATGTCACACTTGGGGAGAAGAAAAAAGTTGTTGAAAGTGTGCATTTCAACCTAGTTAAATCTGCACGTCACGGGTTATTTCCTACCTTTACTTTACATTTACCCAATCAAACACCTGCCCATTTGGTAACTTGAGTACTGATACTTTAATAACAAAATCATATCATTATATGGGCTACTATTGTTTTAAGAGAAAAGCATACAATTATTTTTAGAATGTTTGATATTTTCGCGCTCTCCTAATTTTGGTCGTATGACCGTCGTACGACGAATTCAACTCTGCTCCCTGTGAGCGCCAGTGGCGTAGCTAGTGGGGTTAAAGGGGAGGGGAACTTGCCCCGGGAACCAGGTTTGAGGGGGCGCTGAAATGGGAGAATGGGAGTAAAAAGTTAAGCACTTTTTGGAAAAACACGACGAAATTGATGTATGTCGTCAGGCATGAATATTTTCTAGTTAATAATAAGAACCTGAATGTAGTTGTTTTTATTGGCAAATTTATAGATTGTGATTTCTTTTCAGTCCAGTCAGTCCACTATCTGCGTTGGCACTACTTAGTATTTAGCGTTATGAAGCAGACAACATTGCTAACTTTGATCATGTTATTAACTTATTTGCTGATGCAAAACCATACAAAATTCAGTTGCGAGTTTAAACAATGTTAAACATTCAGCAACTTACATACTGCTGTATGCGATAAATACAACAGCCTTGCAAAATTAGGATAATGGTAAAGTTGTATACAAAGTTCCGAACATTGTAATGCAGTTTCAATAGTAAGAAACAGGGGTAGCGCCAGGTCCCCGTCGGGGAGAAAAACCATAAATCTTTGGGAAGAAAAAAAAATTATATGTATTTTGTACAAAATATTAGACTCTAAAATCGATTAAATAAGCCTTTGACATAAATTGTCAAAATTTTTCGAATTCGCAAAAGTTGGCCTTAGATCAACTCCAGCGAATTCGCAGGCGGAATCTCCCTTACCATCTCGCGCATCGCACTGACGTTCGAATACTCGACGTTTGCATGATATGTTCACATTGGAAACGTCAGTTACGTCTTTTCGATTCAGCAGCTCGCGAAATTCGCTTGTTTGAACCTTTACATTATTAACAATAATTTATTTAAATGTCGACAACACTTTAACGGCAGGTATAACGTGTTTTTATTATCATCATCATCATCATCATCATCATCATTATTATTATTATTATTATTTTCATTCTTGTTTTTACAATAGAGCTAGTGTCAGAGTTTAAAGAAGCTACACAGAGTTCCAATCATGGGCCGGGTGTTGCTGACAGGGCAGTTGACGGAGGAAGAAATGGAAATTATTTTGCCCACTCTTGTACTCACACCGGTAAGTGGTAATTAACGAGAAAATGTTACAAAATTGTATTCACATTTACATGCCATTTCGTTAATTTTTAGCTTAAAGCAATTATTAATATATTACATTGTTGGTAAATTGTAACAACTTACTGCAAATATATTCAATAACTGATCGTATCTGTAAGTGAAGAAATATATAAAACTTCAAAACGCAGACATTAAATCTAGTATGGCATGGCAAAGCCATAAGTAGCTTCGGATTGATAGGAGAGTATAAATTCTTTTTGTAGAAGATGCTAATCCAAATAATTAAAATGAGGGCGATGATGATGATGTTGATGACGATAATAATAATAATAATAATAATAATAATAATAATAATAATAATAATTATTATTATTATTATTATTATTATTATTATTATTATTATTATTATTATTATTATTATTATTATTATTATTATTATATCGATTTTTTGGAAAAGCAAAACAGAAAGGTTTAAATATTTTTTCAAATTACCAAGTCAAAATGTTGTATAATTATATTAGATAACATAATATATTGATGAAGAAGGTAAATCTAAAAATAACCCTATTGAAGCAATAATAATAACTAATTTCACAACCATATCCTTTAAAGGACTTCTCAAATATTTTCTTTTTTCTTATTGTATTTATTATTGTATTCGTTTTGTTATTGTAAATATTAGAAATGATTTTTCATAATTAAGTTTTTTAATATCTCAATTTAAATAGTATAGTTGATATAATTTTGCTATTGTATATTGTATATGTTTATTTTTTTTCATTTTTGGTTTTATATTTGTATTTCATTGCATGTATTTATGGTGCCAAATGATCAGTTGCTGCAGGATAAGAACCACCCTTACAAAACTTTGTTGAAATAAACAATATGGGAACTAGATTATGGTGGACTAATTAACTCTCTTATATATAATTTTAAAGCTAAATAAATATATGATAATTTAAAAGAAAAATTTCAATAATTCATCAAATTTGTCTGTGAGTCACAAATGTAATATCTTTCTTTTGTTTATAAAATAGTGTTCTCATTTATTTTATAGCTGGTGGATTGAACAACCCATGGTGGTATGTTGATCTTGGAGCATCGACAGTCGTTTCAAAGATAGTTATATATAACAGAGATGAATGTTGTGGTAGGAAAATGTTCATACGTGTTTTCTTTTTTTTTTCTTTTTTCTTTTTTTATTTAAGAGCTGGGCACTCACTGCGTCGGTCGACGGTCGTACGACCGTCGACCGACGAATCCAACTCCGCTTCCTATAGCACTAGACGACGCGACGCCGTCTGCTGATTGTCGGATGCAGTCTGAACGGATCGTCATTAAAAACGATCCGCTGCACACGCGTCGTGGCGTTGCGTTCTCCATAGAATCGCGTCGGCCGCGGTCGACGACTGTTCGGCGCTGGGAATACCCGGCTTTACAGTGTTAACATATTTAGGTATAAAGGGCTAATTTACACGTAATATAATTTCATACTGTTTTACAATTGTGTATTTTGAGAAGTGGATAGTTTCGCCACACGTTGCTTTGTACGTGAAAATGTATTACCTGAATTATTTATTCGCATCAAGCAACCGACCCGCTTCGTCATTCGTTTCTACACGTACGTCTAACAGCGTATGCAAGTTACATTTTTTACAGTGTATTCTAATTGTATTTGTTAATTGATTACAAAATTAAATAGGATTGTTATTAAAAATCATGTTAACACACGTTCATATAAATATAATTTAAATTATGACGTCCTAGTTAAGTAGGTTTTTAAGAAGAAATAAGCCTTCACGCACCTAGGTCACAATCATATATCTTGCAGAAAGTATATTTAAATGATGCTAGCCCCTTACCATATTAAAATTGAATAATGCAACATTATCATGTAAGTTATTAGGGTAGAATTTACCTTTTTGTAAAGTAGAATTACCAGACTGTAAAGATATTATGCTAATATTGATGTTGTGTTTAATAAAATATCAACACATCCTTTTATTTTTTTAATTTGTATAAGTTCAGCATTTAAGAACTTGTAATATATCAGAATGTAAAAATGAAGAAAACGTATTAGTATATAATGAACCTTGTTTAGATTTTAAAAGGCGGACACATTAGGCCATACAAGCTACGTTTATGACGTTTCATTATTAATTAATCTCAGTGTGCAATATTGTCCGTGTGTATGTATGTATGTACCCTTCGGAAAAGAGGGGATTGATTGTTTTTCCCCCGGTGTACTCCATGATTTATTACCAGAGAGCCGTCACCAAGTTTTCTGACTAAGTGGGCTATCCTTGGTGTTTGTGTGTCACATATGAAATAGCCCTACATTCCTGTCGATGCTTCTTGCCCAAGAAAATAGAGTTTTAAGTCGTAAGTCGTGTACTACACTACTATCATGTGGGTGTAGTATGCACTGTTTGTACTGTAAATAATAATAATAATAATAATAATAATAATAATAATAATA